GAGTATTTTATTTGAATTTCCTGGAAATTGGATATTACCATCGCATGAATTACATATATTTTCGTACATATTGCGCTCATCATTGTAAGTTCAATTCTTTTGTTTCTCTATTCTATCATCTGAAATGTCATTTATAGATGCGTTATACACATGGAGATATGCAACGAATATTTCAGGTGCCATTTGGTTCATGGCTGATTCCGACCATCGGTTCTTCACTTTGTATTCTTCTTATGCGTGGTATAACAAAACCAACAGTTTTTCGATTTCTCGTATGGACAGCATTAGGTCAAATTATTTATTTTTCCTATGGTTTTTGGCACTCTAAACAACGAAAATCAATAAAAAGTGCATCTATTTCAAGTGTAACAGAACTTCTACCAACAATAGCAAGTATTACGGAACAATATACACAAAATGAACTTGAATCAGATTTAGCAAGTGAAAATAGTGAAAATGCAGTATAAAAAACTTTCTTTACTCATACTTGTAGATATTAATATAAAATATCTTAATTTAGAAAATATATAAATTATATCATGTTTGTCAATTCAATTTAACATAATAAATGGTTCATTATTGACTGTATAAATAGTTTATTGTAATATTTTGTTTAAGAGTGTAGTTATGATTTCTATTGTCTTCTTAAATACTGTTTATTAGAATTTTTGAATAGAATAATATTCTTTTTTTAAATAAATGTGTTTATAAAATTAAATATTCGATTTGATTCATAGAATCAATTTGAAAGAAACTTTTTTTTTTAATGAAAAGTATTTTTTTTTAACTTTTCACGATTATTTTAATTAAAAAAAGCATTATATTTTGTATTGAAAGTAGAGGGTGGGTGTGGTTCTTCTTTTAAGCCACACCTACACCCACACCCCACCCACACCCACGCCCACACCCACAGTCACATCCACACCCACTTACCCACACCCACATACCCACATACACATACCCACACCCACAGTCACATCCACATCCACATCCACACCCACATCCACATCCACACCCACACCCTCACTCGATCATCGGAATAATATGTACTTTAATTGATATATTTTTTGATTGAATATATTTTTGATAGTACAGAACAAAATAAATCTCTCATTTTTAGCATCTCAAAGTCGAATCATTTTCCATTTCTGATCAGCATTGTTCACTTCTTCCCACAAGTGTAATTGTGTACCTGCTGCGGTGGAACTTCCTGGAACTGATACTAATTTTGCTGGACCTGGTTGATTCAATGAGTGAACACTGATCAGTTGGACTACTCCAGGTGCTCCATCTACTTCATTTATTTTCCACAACTGATTATCACCAGCATGATAAGCTGCTTGAATCAATGGCGCTCCATTATTCGTCTGCCATCCGTACGCATCTAAGGCTTGACGACTGTGAGCTGCAAGCAGCCGATACTGACCATGACCTGAATATTGAACGTGCCACTTCTATAAAAGAATTCGAATTATTTCTGTTACATTTTTCAATCAATAGTAGGCAAATATATCTTTGAATTTGAAGGCATTATTTCTTTACTTACTTGCCAATCGCCGCCATTGTCGGGCCACTGCAAAACTCTAGCTCTCTCAGTTGTTGATGCACTCTCGATCTCCATCAAAAACCCTGTATGAACATTTTCGAATTTGTAAAATCCGTCGTATTTCGGCTGCCACATTTCAACCCAATCAACACTCATTATTGTCGGATAAGTTCGAGGATCAATAGGAGTTTCTTTCGATTTTCCACCCACACCCAAGCTAATAACCAAACACATATTGTCGACTTGACTTAGCTCATGTGATTTGACAATTGTATTGACCCAATTGTCGTCATAGTACCATGTTATTTGATCATAACCCCAGTCCACTCCAAAGCGGTGAAAAATATTACTCGTTTCTCGATTATCGGCTGTATGGGTTACTTCTTCAGCTGCCGTTTGATCATTTGCGTACCTGAATCCGTACGTAAAGCGCGAGCGTGAATCGAAGACTTCCATTAATGTAATCATCGGCACGGTGGTCTGATCTTGAGCGACAAGAAACACCGATGGCCATGTACTTTGAACATTCGATGCTCGCAAGCTCACTTCAACATAGCCATTCTTTATACAAAATTTGCCGTTTGTATTCACGGCACCCGAGGAGAAGTCTAGATCGATTGGACCAAACTCGGTATAGATGCCAAGAATGATTGACCGTTCACGTATAGCCGTGATGTTAAGATACCCCTCAGGCGTCACTTTAACTTGACGAGGAATGGTGTTAGCTCGATGATTATAGTAAGAACCCCATGGATATCCATAATTCCAAATACTGGTGTTCAGCAACGGAGAATCAAACTGTTCAGAAAAAGTACGAGAAAGACCATCAGTGGGATGAGTGTCAGTATATGAAGCAACCAGAAGACAAACAATCGATATTAAAAATATTCTCATGATGGCTTAAGGCCGAAAAGTAAAATGATGGTAAACTAACGGGGGACAGAGATTGAAGTAAGTGATGAGAGAAAGCACCAGGTGTGATTTTCTTTAGTGTTGATGGGAATGATTCAGCTGTGAGTCGCCAACTCAAAGATACACACTGGTTAAATGCTTGATTTTCATGTGAAGGACTGGAAAACGACCATTATCGGAGTTTATCGCGAATAATAGAGAGAAGAAATATATTCAATGGTTGAAATGGAAATTTGACTTTAAGAACGGGGTGGGTGTGGGTGTGGGTGTGGGGTGTGGGTGTGGGTGTGGGTAGGTGTGGATGTGCATGTGTATCCTGTTCTTTTCTCACAAGCACATCCACACCGCACTCACATCCACACCGCACTCACATCCACACCCACACCCCGATTTACTTTCGTCAACCTTTATAAAATATCCTCATTTTCTCAAAAAACCCTTTCCTTGACCCTAAAAACTCAAGTCAAAATTTTGAGAAACTGACCTCAGATTCGAATTCTCCGATCCCGATTTACTTTCGTGAACATCTAACAAAAATTGACCGTGGATGTTCTTTTAACCCTGAAATTTTTTTGACCTTGCGACAAGCAAACAAACAAGTAAACAAACTATTTTTTTTCATATGACCCTCTCTTCAGTCGAGGGAATTATATTAGTATTCAATGTGAAAGAAAATTTACGCGTCACCATACTCTAACTGTCTTCAGTATACTTTACTGTACTTCAATTGTACTTCACTGTACTTCACCGTACTTCACTCGTACTTCACTCGTACTTCACTGGTACTTCACTCGTACTTCACTGGTACTTCACTCGTACTTCACCGTACTTCACCCGTACTTCATGGTACTTCACTCGTACTTCACTGGTACTTCACTCGTACTTCACTGGTACTTCACTCGTACTTCACCGGTACTTCACTCGTACTTCAACCGTACTTCAAATTTTTTTGAAGTAGATAAAGTCTCGCTTTTTCCCCCTTGACTACGACTCATATTTCAAATTCGTCTTATCTTTCTTCATTGTATAAAAAACATTGCTCGTAAGAAGAAAATAGTTAATTATTTGATCAAATCGATGTTTATCAATGGCTGAAGCATTTGATATAACTGATTCAAATACAACAATGACGTATGTAATTCGTTTTGGTACATCTAATAAAATTGTTCATCTTACTCAACAACAACAACAACTTAATCGTATTCCTTATTTAATTAATCTTATGATACATCGATCTAAATATAATTGCTGTGTCGCTATTACCCTTAGACGTACTATTAAAATCAGAAGGACCGTCAAAATCCGAACAAGAATTAATTCTATTATCAAAAGGTAAGCAAAACAAGAACAAATTTTAGAAGAACCGCAATCAGCTTGATCAAGACAACCAAACGTCGATAAATTCAAATATCGATCTATTCCGAAAGCTCAACAGCATCATCAAAAAAAGTCTCTGCAAATTTCTTTTTTCTTTACTTAATAAATTCTGATAAACATACGAAATCTTTTTAATTCTATTTGAATGACGAAAATTAATGAATTTTTATTAAAAAATTCGTTACAACAATTATTTACACTACAAAAAAAATGATTATCTAGAACATAATTAATTATTTTATTCGAAACAAATTTGTTGAGAAGGTACTTCATTAATTTTACCTTTTATGCAATCAACTTTGAAATATTTCATATAAGGACAAAGTGCCCTTAAGAAAAAAATCTCACCATCTGTATCCATCCTTTCAAGATAGACTTTTGTTATTTTACTTTTAGGTTTCATTGAAAAAAAAAATTTATAATCTTTTGGATTCATTCCTTCTGGATC